CTAATAAATAGTTTGCATGATTATCATAAACTCAAATTTGTTTTTCCATCATTATTTTAAAATTAATTTATAACATTTTGAAATGTTTTTCACCATACTCATCTTTCTGACTGGCTGCCAGTCACATTAATCAAGCTGCTTTGCTCCTCAAGCTAGCATAGCAGGCGCGAAATGAACAAGTTTCTGACAAAAAAAAAAAAAAAGACCAAGAGAAGCAAATCCTGATCAACAAAAATCAGAAGGTATAATCTAATACAGTGTTTAAAACAGGTTAATAAAATTCTTATGCTAAACAAATGTCAGTTTTTCGTCACATATTTTGTAGCATTGTTTGTGAGTTTGCCAGGGAGGGGGCGTCCCCAGCCASAGGATAAGGAAGGTGTTCACGTAGCACATCAAAACAGACCAAAAATATCTCAGAAATAGTTTGCAGTGGTCAGATTTGCAATATCTGTTGTAGTTCAAAAGTTATTTGATGTGTTTAGTAGAGATAATATGTGACGGACTAAAGAAATTTTTCACTTTGAACTGAAAATTTCTCTCTTGTCTGACATAAAAGCGTGTCCTGAGACTTTTGACTCACCCAGTATTCGTTATTGTTTCCCCCTCAAGCACATTTAAATACCAAGTTTTAAAACAGATCTGCAGACACATTTTAACCCACTGCATTTAAACCCATAAATCCTGTTTTCTAGAAAGAGACTCTCACCTGTCGTCCCCGAACAGCTCGCTGGATTGCTGCTATTTGTGTCCGTCTTGGTGTACACCTCAAACTTGTACTTAGTTCCTGATACCAGGTTCGTAAATGTATAGCTGGTTTCATTCACGACCGTATGGCTTGTTTCAGTGTTCCAGAAAGCAGAAGAGATTTTGAGAACATACGTAGCGTTGTGCACGTTCAGAGGTGGATCCCACTGAAAGGTGATGGAGTCATTTGTGCTGGACCTGACTGTGGCATTTTCCGGAGGACTGGGCACTGAAAACAACAAAAAGAATGACAGGATTAAAAAAAAAGTTATGGCACTAACACATTGTATTTTTAAGTTGGAAATATTTTAAACTCAATCAACAATGATGGGCACAGTTCTAATCTGCCAAAAAAAAACTAGCTTCTGCTTTAGCGGATTAGCTKTTTTGCTAATTTTAATCGGACCAAATAAATTCTGCGAGTTTTCAGTCCACTTCAAATTTCAAACTTCTATTAAATAAAACAAAAACTATCTTTTCTTACAAGCACTGTGTGTTGCATCTGTAGAAACTAAACTTCAAACTAAAAGTGTAAAGAAAAAAAAGGTAACAT